GATTTGTGCTCTCTCTGCCTACCTGGTGTCCTACCTATGGCTCAGATAGTAGGCATCTTATAATCTCTGCTCTCCTTCCTGTTCCCTAGTGTCCAACACAGTGCAGTGGGTGTCCCTATTTCCTAGTCATAATATCACAGCTTCAGGTCTCCAATCTTGATTTTCTCATCACTCTATGAATACCACAAGGACCATCTCTATTACTCCCACCAACATTCCTCTAAGAAGCCTTGAGAACTTAATCTTACTAGTGTCAGATTCCTCTCCTGCAACATACCCTCCTCTGGCTCAAACTCTTCCCTGCTGCTGCCATCAGGATGGGCCCTACTCCTTCAGCTACTGCACATCTCTTCCACTCCTCTCCAACATTCCTCCTTTGTTTAGTGCTTACTCTTGCAAGAGACAGAATTAAGCATACGACTGTCTGTTCCTCCCAATCCTTCCACCTGTTTGAAGGAAAGATCTCTCACCCCCCTGCTGACTCATCAAGGTGTGAACCTTAAGTCCAACTTGGCAATCTCCATGCTCCAAAGGGAACTCAACACTCTCCAAATCCCTTGCTGCAATCCACTAATTCTCCAATTCAGCTTCACAGACTTTCTTCATTTGTTTCTCCAGTAAGTTTGGCTCCATTTCCTCTTAAATCCACTGGTTGAAGCCACCAAGACCCATCCTAATGATGCCCCTGAAGTGAGAGCATCCTGACCCCTTGACCACTCAGCTCAATCCACACATACGAAAAAAGGCATTGCCCTCCATCTCCAATTCCTCTTCACAAAGTATCAGAGACTGGACAACAGTTTGCCTGCTAAGAACTGCAAAGGATTTACCCTTTCCCATTTCAATTCCAGGAGACAGCTTTTACACAAACCAACTGTTATTTCCATAGTGGTGTCCTCCCCTTTTCCCTGGCTCATCCCAATGACTCCCTACTGCCCTGACCCTACTACCTTGGTCTCCTTCCTACATGTTGCCTCACTTCACCTGTCCCTCTAAAGTCTGTGGACCACAGCTGTTTTAAGCTTCTTGCATTGTCCAAATTCCTAGCAAGGCGTATTTTGCCTACTGTGATGTCATGAGCACTGGCTTCCCAGCGCGTCTATCTAAACAAGATGCCTTCATCTTTCATCCGTCTGTGGTATTTGCAAAAACAGAGCTGGCAGAGAGAAGTTGACGGTGTTCGGCTCAGGCCATAGTCCGCTTTCGCCTGTGGAGCAGTGTGTCTTCTAGGTTCTACTTTCAGTCAGATCCCCTTAAAGGGTTCTTGTGCAGATGCCGAACCTACCATATATTTAATCTTCAAGGCAAAGCAAAGTTGTCATTGCTAAAGCTGTTGATGCTAATCTCTGGCAACACGGTATTGTGTGCTGACAAATCAAATACTATTTCACAGTCTGTCTGGAGGTTTTGCGTGGTGTCCGACAACGAAAAGCTTTTGCAGCTCTTGGCCATACAGATTCTCTCACATCCCTTTAAGAGTCCTCTGCAGCTTTTGTGAACTGTACCATACTGGCATTGTTATTCTTTTGGGGTTTCCATTCAGACAAAAAGTGAGTGAACATTCACATTAAAAAGTTAAAACATTTCATCTGCACTGCACATATTCCTTACTCAACTGAATTGCCATTTCACTCTCTTATTGACAAATATACTATATAATGCTTAATACTTCTAAGCTCAATTTATCTTACAGTTTAATGCATAGTTCTACTTTTTTGGTTTGGGGTTCCAACTTCCTTCTTCCACAGCAGGGTGGCTGGCCCTCAGCCACATGGGTTAAGGCAAAACATCTTCTTCTTGACTTCACAATAAACATGCCTAAATCTTATTGGATTATTCTTGTGAAATACAGTTAATGAGAATTTGCTGGTGGTGGTGGTCAGGAGGGGTTATGGCAGCCCAGCAACCAAGGTCCCCCTCGTGTGAGAGCGATGTCATTTACGAACCCTGTGCAGGTCTCCAGGTGCGGTCCGGTAGCTGAGGTATCCGAGGAAGGCGGCGAGGTAGGGTGGTCGGTTGTTCCAGGCAGGGTCAAGTCCAGGTCATAGGCAAGAAGAGAGGCAAACAAATCCGACTGGGACGAGGCAAGAGCGAGAAATCCAAAACCAAAGAGTCAACGTTAAGGGAGTCCAGACGAGGAAGAAAAGGTACTAGAAAAGGAAAGGGCGAGGTGAGCTCAGGAGGCAGGAGAGATCCTAATACCGAGCGATGTTACCAGGTGAACTGAGGGTTTAAATAGTGAAGGTAGGGGTGTGGAAGGGAAAATGGATAATGAGGGGTTAATTGAGACCAGCTGTAGCCGTAACACTTCAATTCTGCTGCTCCTTGATGTCGCTTCTTGGAAACCATCGATAGCAGAGTAAGCCTCTCTCTTGCGCTCATTCAACTCTGTGCCTCCCTCTTCCACCCCTGCTCCACTGTTGCAGCTCCCCCTTGGCTAACTTCTTTCTCGGTATGGGGATTCGTGATAGGGCTGGAGAAACAACAACACCAAAGGTCCTTTTTCAAATGAAAGCAGTAAGGTAACACACTATTTCTTTAGAAAAATAAATGGGAAAAATCACCTTTGTTTTCCCTCTGTGGCCCATCAAGTCTTAACATCTTCTTAGTGCTTTGCAACAATAAAGTTCTCAGCTCTTTCTGAGGTCGCTTTCTCCCTGGCTGTCCTGCAGATCCATGGTGAGCCGCTATCGGCCAGCTCAGGAAGAGAACTGTGCTTTTACAGGGTGGATCCAATACCAACAAGGAGAATCAACTAACGGCTGCTGCAACAAAAGGTGACAAAGTCGACAAGGTCCAGACATCCCTCAGCCTCGCTGTTTAAGCCAATACCTTACACTTCGAGAGAAATTCCCAACTAATTTCCTTGTGAAAACAACTTTGCGCACCGGGACAGTGCCATTTTCAGCCATTCCTTTCTACAAACTTGCTCAGGCTCTGCCAGCTTGGTTGGAGATCATTGATGAGCAGCATTTTTCAAACTGAGTATAGGGATGGTGCTGTTTGGTTGAAGTACAGTTGTGTGTAGAGCTTGAACCAGGCATAATGTTTACATTTAGACCAAAGAGTTCCTTGTTTTTCTCATCTGAGCAGGTTATATTTTGTCACATTTTCCAGAATCATTTAGACATTTTGCTGGAAACTCCATACAGGATTTGAAATATTTGTTTTCAGTTCCATACAGGCCCACATTCTGAAGTAACAGGAATATTGTTGACTCATGGACCTTATCTCACATATAAGGCATTTAACTCTGTAGCCCCGAAAAGTTGCTGTTGAATTCTGGGTATCATTCCTGACCAGATATCTACTTTTTGACAGTCTCAGCTAGGCTTTATCAGGTTGGTACAATAGACCTTCCATTTCTTACAGGTTGACCTTACCATTTTCAAATATTTAGTTTTGTTTAAATCTTCTTGTACTCCTTTACTGATCTGTGCCTTTCTCAAATTTTAGAAAGTTGTTTCCCTGAGTCCCTGACGAGCCCCTGAGTTGTTTTGAAAGCTCTTTTGTCTTCATGATGGAATCCTGCTTCAAAATCACTGCCAAACTGAGGGAATTGTGTTCTGAACTTATGTGGGCCACTATGATAACACATAGGCCAAAGTAATTTTGTGCACCTAATCTAACTTAACGTTTTCCATAGCAAAGGGGGTGACTATGTATGCAACCAACATAATTAACATTTTGTTCTTTGTGGATATTTAATTTTTTCATCCTTAAAAATGTTCAGTTTGTAAATTGAAGCTTGAATATAAATACAATTTAAACATATACTATATGCAGTATAGAATTTGTCATTCGACAAAACTGGACATCATTGGAAGGAGATGAATACTTTTGTAAGGCAAGGTTTATAGAGAGCAGGAGCCCCCTTGTGGCTACAAGGCGAAATGCTTCTGTTCAGTGGAATAAGGAAGAAGGCGGCAAAACAGGGCTGAGTATACAGGCCTGCCCCAGTTGGAGTGCTTTATTTCCTTCAGTCTCATCAACTATTAGCCAAGATACTCTTGCAACTTTGGGTGAGATTATATTATTGAGGTGATAGCTAATCCGTCTGTTAAGATGTTCAATGTCGATACTTTTTGCATGATTCCAAGTAGATAAGATGTGCAACCTTTCCCACTAATGCATACAAACTTTTTCAAACATACTGTGTCCGGTCATCTGTTGCTTATTTGTTGATTCGCTGTAACGAAATGTTGTTCAGAATATTTGGTTGACTTTATTTATGATGTCATAGGTAATACAACCTGCCTGCAAAATCCACAGTATAAAATTAAAATGGATCAAGTGCATACTGTATGTCGGAAATAGTTGATGAAGTATGAATCAATTTAACATTGGAGCATTAATCATCCATCCATTTTCTAGATGCTTTATCCAGTACAGGGTGAAGGGGAGCTTTAGCCTATCCTAGCAAGCAATGGGCACAAGGCAAGATACACTCTGGGCAACATTGAGTTTTATGGTTAAAATAAATCTAATAACACCTCACCATGAAGTGATGTGTAAAATACCTTTTTCAGATATTATATTATGGCCCATCCTACTCCAAATCACCCAAAAGATGATTTCTCCTGTTTTGTAGCAATCTTACAATCGTCACTTAAAATATACTGGAAAGTGAAAGTTCTCTTAGAACATGGGTAGCAGGTGCCCCCTAGTGTTTCATGTTTAAAACTGCAACACAGACTTGCTACGTGGCTTTTGTAATTTTGTTGCAGGATATATAGAAGATCCTGAATCACATGTGCATACAGTATGCAAAGAAGACTATTTTTGTAATGATCAATACCCACAGACAGTTTATGTGGACAAATAGGAGAAATTATAATCTCTATGCACAGTGTGTACTGAATGTCTGGGGACAAATCTGCATGACAATTATGCAGCAGATAATTACTGACATACAAAAGCTAAATGGGCAATAGTACAAAAAAGCTAAACAAAACAGCTTTGCTTCTCATACCATCACAACAAAGTACACTAATAAAACAGAAGTCTACATCATTTTTATTTTCTTTCGAAAGTACAGTAGATCAATACACAATACTATAGCTATGTCTGTGGTCACAACTCATCAGGCTGAAATGAATATGAAGACAAGTCCCGAACATGAGATGTACAAAGTTTATTATACATTGTCCATGTGGCCATGGTTGTCCTACAACACAGATGCTATGCAGTATGTGAAAGCTATATTTATGGCATTCAGCTGTTAAAAACATGCTGGCAAGCATTCATTTTAAACATATCTAAAAAATTAAAAAAGAATCATAACTGCAAACATTATATAATACATAATTATTACTCATACACCTTATTTTTAAAACACTTTGATTGTGTTAAACTGTTGAAGACCCTAGGTACATCAGAAAATTGATATGAAAAGATTTTTCTTTCACGCTTTCATCGGTTTAAGTAAAAAGATGAAGTCAGAGCAAAAGAAATTAGCGGTAGTTAACTGATGCAACCACTAAGTGTCATACTGTACGTCTAAAATTAAGGCTTTCAGGACTGGTAGTCCATATTGTAAAGTTCTGAACGTCAAGATCTGCTCGCTGTTTGGTATTGCTCTTGTCACTCATTAACACTGTGTGATTGTTTTCCTTACATTGACTGAGGAGCTCCGAGAAGTTCGGTAAAAGCAATACATTCAGAAGTGTACCATGAATGCTACCATCAATGCAAAGGGCAATAATAAATGCACAGTCTTCTGACCAGTCACCCACAGCTGCCAAACAGCAGCAAATTCTGACAAGACCCTTGTCGTTAATTCTATCTGCACACAGTGGAAGACCCCAACTCAGAGACCTAACCTCTGTAGTTCACCCATTTACTGTATTTCCCCCCAAAATAAACATTGGATTTGGATTTCTTAAAACTAACAGCAACTCTCTCTGAAGAACACATTTGTTGGAAATCCCAAACGTGCTACCACGATGTTCAGGACAATAAAAAATAAAGTAAGTCTGGAAATGACTTACAAAATAGACGAGAAACATAGGAAACCCATATCTGCCACTTACAATGTCTGACAAAGAAAGCCAATTGTTTTTTCTTTCACAATTAGAGCTCTACTCTATTCCACAATGTTAGGAGCAGCAGAAATGTTACTAGCACAGTGTTTTTCTTTGCTTAAGATGCTTACAGAGGCCATGTTTAAAGGAAAAATAAAGGCATCCCATTGCTATCAGATTAACATTCTTTTTTAAAAAACAAATCAGCAATAGAAAATCCCGTTATGGCAACAACAGTGACTCATGGAACATTTGAAAGCTTATAAAAACCCATATGATTCAAAGCACAGTTACTGGTGTCTATGAATTGCCACTATCATCATTACCCTGCTTCACTTTGCAGACAGTGGTGATGACTTTGTTTTAAATCAAGCAAACATTTCTCTGTCTATCAACGTAAAGCTATTGAGAAAAAGACAGTGAGCAATGTGCAGCGAGAAAACCCTGCCAAAACATGTCACCCATGAACAGTAAGAGGTTTCTCTCACAGTGAGTGAAAAGAGCAAACCGGCTGTAGGCTGAGAATAAGTTCCCAATCAGACATGTGAGACGTATATACTGTAAAGCGATGGTGTTGGAAGTCATTTACATTCACAGCTGTATTTTCCGTGCACCATGGGCAACTGAGAGCTCACCAGTGAAACAAAAACACTCCTTAAATGCCCCCAACTCCTAAGCCAAGGCATCAGTATGAGAGAAATCTTTGGGGGAAAACACCATCTGCACACAAAGCAGCACAGACAAAGAATAGTTAAGGGAAGAAAGGCAGGGAAATAAAGCATATCTTTTAAGACCACAGGAAGAACTACAAACGACAGGCAGCCATTTGGCCTGTCCGGCTTATTTTGTTGTGAGAAGCCAATTGATCCAAGAATCCCGTCCAGCTGTTTCCTGAATCACTTTTATGGATTTCTATCTGTCATACACAGATCAATACTTCTGACTAAGCAGGTCAGGTGTTTGAGCCTCTCCTGATTTTGCAAATTGGGTGATATTGATGACATGACCACACAATTTGAAGATTCTGAATACAGCTGGGATGGGTCCTTCCCCATAACCATCTCATTTCGGGCAACTGCTGCTCATATAAAAAAAGAAATAATGTCTGTTCATTACTCAGCTTTGTCCAAAAACCAGGCATTTTGATCCCATTGCCATAGTAGCAGCAAGTTATCTTGAATGAAAAAGACTCTTCTATTGGTTTGGCTACTTGAGAAGAGAAAAATATGGAGCCTGTGCCGTGGGGGGGAAAAGTTACACTGTATCACTCCATTTGTATCAGCGGAGCTGGTGGATTGATTAACTTTTAGAAAGTAAAACTGAACAACATGAACTACATGAAAACAAACAATATAACACACATTTTAAGATTCAGGGATTATGAAACATTTGATGAGATGCCTGCAGTTTGTTTATGCCTTTTATTTTGGGGTTCCGATATCACTCTAGGCTAACCAGCTGATTATCCTCAGCCCATTCTGCACTGTCCAGAGCCCTGCAGTGTCCTGTGCCTGTTTGTGGCACAGCCCCAGGGCTAAGAAGTGCTGGACTGAGCTCAGGCCACCTCTGAAGGGTCAAGGGGTCTGAGGCACAATCGGTGGAGCACTGTAGCATGTGCTTTGTGTCATAATGATGCTTCCACACAGCTCACGGAAAACACAATCTTTAAAACACCTTTATCCAAAAATACGCAAAGCTTACATTTGCCCAGGCAAATTTTTAAAGACTGCATGAGCTGTGGTTGAAAGACAAAACAGGTTGAGCACACATTTCAAATAAATACAACACAGGCTCAATTCTTCAGTTTTGTAAGCTTTGTGGTTTGTTTCATACTGTTAAAACCACATCTGTGAGGGTAAGAGAAATAGGTCAACATAACAATGAATTGCAATGAATTCAGAGAGGATGTCACTTCAGAGAAAGTCTCATTGGAATTTGTACTCTTTTTGCCTCTCTTTTCTTTTACCACACAAGCAGATAAAGCAGAGATGGGTGAGATTACACTCTGTTTTTACACTTGTAGCTGCCATCCTGTGAACAGCACTGAAAACTGCAAGTCTAAGGGCAGTTTGCTCCAATGCTGTATACAGAAAATAATTTAAGATTACATATTGGATTCCAGCAATGTAAACTGAACTTTAATTAACCAGGTGCTAAACCATGGCCTGTCTAATCTTTTCAGGGATGTTCTTTCTTGTTACTTAGTCCACCTGAAGTGGACTCAAATTCTGAAGATGTTTCAGTTCATCTTTACATTTACATTCAACTAATCCTGACACTAAAACGTCCATCCTTTTTAGATAAAGGTTGGCTTGGCTTAATAGTGCGTGCGCTGACCTCTGCTTACTCTAATTCACGTTGGTGCAAAATGCGTACCCTTTTTTTTTTCCTTTGTCTTTCACAAAACCATCGGAATTCTACAAATGCAGTTCATTCAGCTGCACACTTACCTATAGATCTAATAACAAAACATTGATAGACGAAAAGCTTGCTAAAGCCTGTGCAAATGTACAACTTAAGTGATAACAGAGCACGTTCTGGAATCGAACTTTTAAATTTGGACTCCATTATTAGAAAAAGAAAAACGCACGAATATATGCTTTTTATATAAGCAAAGCACTGGATGTCTGTATCTGCCTGGCCTATGAAAAAACACAGCCCACTTCTATTGAGCTGTTTCTACCATAAACATTGTGTTTGAAATTCTGAAACTATTTTGTCTTCAAATACATGGTAATGGTGATACTGTATACATTTAAAGTACATTTTAAAACTATTGTTGTATAATGCAACATTATCATCTTCTAATTGCTTTCCAGAAAATTGTTTTTACATACCCAGCCCTATTTGTCTTTGCTAGATTGCTGTGTATGACAGAATTCAGTTTTCTCCTTGCTTATATTCTGTTGAGGTTTTGACTGACTTTTAACAAAAAGTCATCAAAGCCTGCTGGAATCACTCACATTTTCTGCACAACCTTTTAAAAAGCAATTAAAATTTGCTATTGCATACCCAGCCCTATGAGGTCTTAAAAATATTTTTTCATACATATATGAAGCATGCTATTACAGGCATCGTTTTTCAACTTCAACCTGGCTTTCATCGTGACAGTGTGTATATGAATGTGAGTTTATGGGAAAGTATTTTTTTATTTCTTTGTTAATGTGGCTAGGTGCAGTCCACATTGTGATGTATAGTATGCTGAGTCATGCTATAGGGATTTTCGGAACACTGCATTTAAATAACACATTAAAAAACTATCTTAAATGACTTTGCATGCCCCTTTTCAAGAGCTGTAACAAATGTTTTGTTCAAATTCATTTCCATTTAATTTCCCCTTCTTAGAAATATATTCGATTATAAAAAGGTCAAGGTAAAATAGATTTTTTTTACATAACCAGTTGTATGAAATGAAATATCTATGTGCTGAGTACCATACAAAGTTATGGATTTGATAACTCGGATGAAAAAGAATCTGGCAACAATAACAAAGAAAATATTTTTTATCATCTCAAGTGTTTTCCTCATCAGACCCTGTAATGATTATACACAGTCTTTGAATTTTGTCTCACATGGTTTGGAACATTCCCTGATATGCTTATTATACCATATATAAACATGGCTTTGAGAGAACCTTTGTCACTGTACTTCAGTAATGATTTTCACATTTTTAAAGTTATCTCAGAATAAGCATTTAGTTTATGCTCTAAGAGTTTTCCAGTTACACTGCTTGCTGATGCTGACCGATATTTGTTAAATAATCACTAAATTTACATTCCTGTTTAACTACATGCTTTGATTAACATGCCACACCAAAATGCAGATTCACTTCAAAGGCTTCCCAGCCCTTTTTCTATGTATATTAAAAATGAGCTGCACGTTACTTATGTCAAAGCCACAGTCGAGTGTATACAGCACTGTATACTAAGAAACAAAGGAAGTGTTACATTGCAAGAAAAGCCCATAAAAATGAGTGTGTGCTGTGTCAGTGGTGATGGGTAAAGGTAATGCATTACATCACTGTATTACCCATTGTGAAGTAACATCTATACAGTTGCATCATCCTGTAATTGTCAGATCCAAACTTCACACAGCAGAAACTAAATTAGCCCTGCCAATACCTCCACTTTTTAAAGTGATTAAGACCTGCAATTAAGTTTTATGATGGGCCCTCCTTCCTTAGTAGAATCACCTTCAGCTGATGTGAAATTAAATACATTCAGTAGACAATGGAGGTGAGGGGTGGAGGGCCAACTACAGCTAGACTTGGGGGTTGTGAAATCATTTCTGTTAAGTCAAAACGGTCATTCACACTGCCTAGACGACAGAGCTGACGGTGTGGAAAAAGCGCTTGCCTCCTGCCAACGTTTACCAGAACGCCCCTCTTAGAAAAACCTCAGTTTTTTTTTTTAAAAACAGCTTTAGTGTGGCCTGGGTCCACAGCAGTCACTACAAAGAAAGCCAGGTGGTTCGAAATATAAGGAGGAGTTTATCCGCGCTCAGTCTCCTAATTCTGTAGGGAGCTCAGGACCACATTTCCAGGCTTGATCGCCCGGCCTGTCTGGACACACCCGTCGTCGTCCTTGGCCTTCCCTACTTGGAGCTGGACCACCCTCTGTCCCCGTAAGCCCCCTCCCCAGTGGCGGAGTGCGGGGAGGGGCCGCAGGGCGTGCACAGGTCCGAGTCGGTGTCAGACTCCCCCTCCGCGATGTAGGGCCTGACCTTCGCGCACAGGGCCACACCTCCGAAGTAGGCATTATTGAGGAAGTCCAAGTTCTCCTTGGACTGGGAGATGCTGAAGCCGCTGAAGGACCGCTCCAGCTCCTCGTGGTCCACGGAGGGGATGGAGATGGAGGTGTCACTGTCCCTCAGGGCGCTGTCGTGCTGTTTCCCGTCTTCGGCGCGCGGGTGGTCGGAGCCCCCGCGGCTGCTCCCGTTGTGTCCAGCTGACGAGCGATCGTGAGAGGGGGGAGGGGGGATCCTGACCAGTGAGGAGGGGTCCCCCACTGGGGAGGTGCCTTGGCTACAGCGGTGGTACTCACTGATGGGCTGCTGCTGCCATGAAGTGGAAGGAGGGCAGTGGTTCTGGGGTCCAGTAGAAGCCGGGGGGGCATCAAAGTTCTTCTGCCCCACGGAGCTGTTGGAGCGGATGATCTTGGTGATGCAGCCGTTCTTCTCCATGTGCTCCCTGCTGTCCACCGGGCTGTGGTAAGGGGGCGCCGGGTCCGGCTCCTTGGATCCAAAGTAGGCTTCTGTCTCGGACTGAGGGATGCCCATCCGCTGCACATAGATATTCACCAAGAAGTCCAGCTTCCTTTCCATTGACATCACCTGCAATAGATGAGTGACAAGAAAAGATGCATGCCACCTCTGTTCTTTACATCTGCTGGTAATATAAGCTTTTTAACTGAGCGTTTTAAAAGCATGTTAATACCGAATTTCAAGTTTTTAAAAAAATCCTCAGTGTGACTGACAATAATCCAGGATGCACAGGCTGCAAAGGAATAAGTAATAGGTTTATTCCATGCTAAAAAGAGAAGAAAGAAAACACAACGTTTCAGCCGTGGAGCCTTCTTCACACCTTCTCTTTTCAGCATGGAATAAACCTATTACTTGTTCCAATAATCCAGGATGATTGTTTCAAACTCAAATACAGAACATGAACACACAGCCACAGCACAGTTCACCAGATCTCGGTTACCAGATCTCAACCCAGCTGAGCGCTTCATGGGAGATTCGGGATCTGTGCCTAAGATAACATTTTCTACCACCATCAATAAAACACTAAATGAAGAAACTTCTCATGGAAGAATGGTGTCACATCCTTCAAATAGAGTTTCATCTGCTCTATGCCAAGGTGAACTGAAGCTGTTCTGGCCTAATTGTGGAGGCCCGAAGCCCTATTAAGACACTTTATGTCGGTTCTTCCTCTATTTTGGTGCTTACCTGTATGCCCTTTGTATGGCATGCTAAACCAATATCTCGATCATCTGGCCATAAGAGAAATCATAAAAGTAGAGGTATTGACCTCAAGTGTTCTGGTTAACACCTCACTATAGTTCCCTCTTCATGAATTTCAGTTGTTCAATCAAAATTCTAATTGTGAAAAAATAAAGTGAAGGGTCAATATACTTCATATATATATTTCTTCAATCTGCAGTTTTACAGAACCATTGGACCATGAGCTTTGTTTGAGTGAGTCAAGTGTGGAGGCAAATTATTACAGGAACCAGCCAGAGAATGTGTACAGTAGCATGAAGTGAATAAGATGCTTTGTTTCATCGAGTATGATTGGCTGTACCATGTTTGAAAGGGATACTGATGGAGAATGAGAAGCATGTATGATGTAGAGAATTGGAACATAGGTTTGTTAACCAGAAACTAAACTAGTTTGTTTGAGACTCTGTGGTGGGCAGTGGAGACACTATAGTGACCCGGAGGAGTAGCCAGGGATGAACTGTACTGACACAGAAGTAGGATGTGAACTAGAAGTGAGTTAACACTTGCTGAGGTTTGCTAGAACTGAATGGATGAAAGAAATATCAGCTACACTCATGGGTGGAAGCTTGGAGTGGGGGGAGGAAGAGTCGAGGGCTGACACTGCACTAGTTGGACGCCACTAGAGGAGCAGGTAAAGGGGGAGGAAACTCAGTGCTATGGGCTACAAATGAGCGAACTCATTGCAGACTTACACCAATGACCTATTTATTGTAGACTAACATCATGCCCTTGGATCCTTGATGTGGAATGGACATTGGTATCGGTAATGAGACTCCTATGAGAACAGTGAAAAGGGAAAATTGTGGAAAGGGGGAAACAAAAAACACCTAAGAAGTGCTGGGCAGTGGAATGGGAGCTAAAGGAGGTGGGGGGGGGGGAGCAAATCTAGTAGGGGCAGAGGAAGTGAGAGGGGAAGTAAACAAAGCAGATGAGGTTGTTTTGAATTTCCAGAGAGAATTGAAACCATCAGGATAAAAGGACGAAAAAGTCCCACTTGTGAAATAGCAGGACTTGGAACAAGGCTGGTTGTTTTACATAGAGAAGAATGTGACTCCCATCCTGTCTTTACGGAGGTGTACCTGACAACGATAAGATCTAACACCAAGGGCAAAAGATGTCCATCTCTGACAAAACCAAAACACTTATTGCTAGAAAAGGAGCACACAGAGATGTGGACAGCAGGCTACTTTTTATACGTAAGAGAAGGGAAGTGCATGATTACAATGTGGCCTTCTCCTAATGTAATCCTGAACTTCAATTCCTCTTGAACTTCTGTTTAATTATAACCTTCTGTGAATCAAGTTCTCACATCCATAATTGAGTGTGATAATCAATCAATAATCAACTTTTACAATGCAAAATATGTAAAGAACCTATGAGGTGTCGCGGTATATGTAAGAAACCTTTGTCGAAGAAAGTATTTTGTTTAATTTAGACACCTGGTTCAATCCCCTTGCTGTAATTCTATGTTTTTGCAACTGCAGTTTGTGAAATACCAAGCTCTGAGCCTCCTCATATTTAGACCTACTGTATGTACAAAACCTATTTGGAAGTAATTCTGAAGCTGCATGGTTTACCCTCTACAGGTTTGTATTAGGTCTCTTTGTTGTTGATAACCAAGGAACTAATTCTTTGCACAACAGAATACTGAAATAAATAGTATGCTCAGCTTACTTAGTGTCACTCAGTGTCACTTAGTGTCACTCAATGGTCAACAACCCAAAAACAAAAACATAAATGTTCCTTACTTGTTTTTCCACCTTGACAAGACGTCCCATCATGCTGGGATCTTCTGGCATTTCTCCTTCTGCAGACCCTTTAGTTCGGTCTTTATCAGTCACAGGAGTACCTCTCCCAACTATCTGGTCCACTCTAGCAATTAGAAAGAAAGCAACATCTGCAATGACAGCAGTGCCGTTAAGAGCTCCGTTAAGATCATTAAGAAAACTTGACACAGGTGACTATTTGCAGAGTTATTCTGGAAATTCTTGTATCTTTGTCTAGTGAGGGTCTTTTATCTAGCATTGCCGTTCTGTCTCGGAAAATATCACATTAAGAGTAGCTAGTGGTATGCAGTTACTCATATTGGTGTAGATGTAATATGATCCCATTTGCATTATATAGGCATTGTCAGGGTACCCTTGATGGGACAGACTCCAATAAACCGACACTCAGGTAAGAGCCTTGTGTTGCTTGTATTCTAACTTTTTATGTATACAATACTTCCAAATTGCATGTTATAGACTTTCTTTGGTACACTTATGGACTATTGTAACCATCATCATAGTGTTTTACCTTGTACAAGCATCAGGGAAATTGTTAGTTCATTTTATGTTTCACAACTCTCAGTCCATAAACTTATAGGTTATTTGGCTAATATTTGTGCTAGTCAAACCAGTACCTATTCTGTGTTTTTGATTGTTGTACTTTATCAAACCACAGATGCAACGTCCCAAAAAAAAAAAGTAAATATCCACAGGGTATATTTAAGGTTTTCAACTGGATGGCATTCTGAAGGTATTGCTTTTCTTAACTATAAATACAGTATAGCAACTTAAGGGCTATTTCTGATACTTCTATGCAGATCCCTTGCAGTTCTACTGTAGAGCTACAGTATGTTAAGCAGCTGCTTTCAAGATATAGGTTTACAGTACATAGCACAGGCAGGTTTAGTACAGGCCCGAGGGATTTCACATTTCCCATGACAATTCAGGTTAAGAAAGCCATGTGGATGAGTGAGGTGACATGGGCACATGCACATAATGGCATGGAACGATTAAAGACAGACAGAGGTGGAGCGAGACCTGAGAAGTCGCAATGCCTTTTAATTTCTCTTTTAGTGCTTTAAGACTTCTGCAAGGGGTTCTGAAAAGCTGGGCAAGCAAAAAAAATATAGTCCACCTTTCACACATTTCAGAAACAAAAAGAGCTGACAAAACATTGCAATTTAAATCCCTTTTTAAAATATGTGTTAAAAACTAGCCTAACAGCAATGTGTGTTAAAATATATATAAACAAATTCCTGCTGCTGCAGTTTCTGGTGAAACAGAATCATACAGTGATGAGAACCAGTCTGTGACCCCCTAAACTGGTTTGTATTCTGGTGTATAAAGATTAAGATAACTTGATTAAATGTATAGGATATATACATAAAATATATTTGGATAATTGAATTAACAAAATTACCTAAAAACAAATATACAAGTGTAAATACATATTTATGAACCCTTAGATTCAGTAACTCCTTGAACAGCAATGACTTCATCTGGACACTGTACGCCTCTCTTGTCAGTTTTTAGGATATTTATCCCTTTTCCTCACAGAACTGTTTCAAGACATTGATATTTGATGGTTTCATTGCATGAACAGCAGACTTCAGGTCCCACCATAACATTTCCATAGGATTTAGGTCCAGACTATGACTTGGTCAATCCAAAGTACTGTCAACCATTTTGTTGTAGATCTGCTTGTATGTTCAGGGTCATCAGGGTCCTACTGATGACTCACTTTCAACTCAGCTTCAGCTAATGAATGTTCTGTCATTCTCCCCCAGAATCTGCTGATACAACACCATGGTTCCATCAATGACGACAAGTCTTCCAGGCCTTGAGGCAGCAAAGCAACGTCCAACCTTGACAGCCCCACCACCATGCTAAGTGGTCATGATGAGGATCTGCTATTAGAAGGCAGTGTTTAGTTTTTGCCACACAAAACATTTATCATTTTGTTCCAAAAAGTTCAGCTTTTGACTTGTCTGCTCATAGAACATTCTTATAGTATCCCTGTGGATCGCCCAGGTGTTTTCCAGGTGACAGGAAGTAATGTTCTTTTTAGAGAGCAACAGATTCCTCCTGGCTATCCTTGAATGAAACCTCTTCCCAATCACCTGCTGAGTCATGAACACTGAAAACAGCCACAGTGAGAGAGGCCTGTAGATTCTTAGATGTTACTCTTGGGTTCTTTGTGACTTCCTGAGTGGTCATGAACACTGAAAACAGCCACAGTGAGAGAGGCCTGAAATTCTTAGATGTTAATCTGGGGTTCTTTGTGACTTCCTGAGTGGTTTTCTGAGTTACTTTGGGATATCTACTTTGGGCAGGACAATTATCACCATGGTCTTGAAGATGTTCCATTTATAGCCAGTATAAAAGTGATTGGAGCCCCATATGGTTGGAATTGTTTTGTCACTCTGCCCAAATTGATGCACATTCACACATTCTTTTTTTCTACTTCAGACACCATTCTTAAAAACATTGGACTTGTCAACATAAACTATTTTGGTTAAGCAAAGAGCAACTATGATTAAGCAAAGGTATTGTGGTAAGCAATTGTGATTTCCATCATTTTTATTTGAGGGTCACAAACTTTTTCACACCCCTGTATGTCTGACCTGCCTCACGCCTTTTCATCCTTTTTGTAGTCACACACGTACCACAGAGAAAAAGGACATCACCTTATCTGTGCTGGAAATCTTTCTGAAAATATTTAGAATCTTTTCTCCTTTTTATGTGCTGCTCAGTCTGAAATATCTGACGGATTAAAATGTATTTTTTTTGGTGTGTGAATGGAGATACACCCCATAGTCAGATTCCTTTAAATAAAAAGTCCCATGGTTCATGGGGCAACAGGGTTGTGAAGGTTACTACTATTTAAAAGAGGATACATTTGTCCAGTGAGATTGTGGAAGTTGTAAGCCTCAGTTGCACTTAAATCCCGCATGGTGGCACCCTTTAATCAATTTAAAACAAAATGTTTGCCCAGCTCTGTCATACGTCACCTTTTTAAAAAATGGCATGTGGAATAAGTACGAAAATTGAATGGAATTTTTGCCAAGGCCATAGAGCAATATCTGACATGCTTCACTGTTCTGCATGCTATCATGCATTTGTTTTTATAGCCCCAATTCTCAATTTACTGTACATTTAAATATTCTGCTACACTCTTTTCAGTGCACTGCAGGCATTTCAGCTCAACCCCTTTCATTAGGCTAAATGTCAAGCTACTTACCTGTACGCAACCCCAAACTACAAGTCTGCTGTGGCATTGCTCTTAAATATCAGGGAGCAGACGTCCTGCAACTTTATTACTTTAATCAAAAGCCAAGGTAGCTATTCTTTGAGTATATTATTGCATTGAAAATGTAATATATTAATTTGTATAGACTCTTTTGCAACTGATAGCATTAAAATAAATTACATGGTCTTTACAGCTATGTTGTTCCTCAAAAACATAATAACGTTAATTTGCATTTTTCAGATTTTAAATAATTCATTGTAAGTTAATTTAACTTGTGACTTAAAAACACAGCGAAACCTGCAATGTGCCGAGCATTCTACATAATCTCAATTAATAGCTGCCGGAATATTAGCAGAGTATCTATTAAATCATTATGCACGCTACTTCATCTAAAGTGTAATTGTGACGGCCTTGAAATTCAAATTGTAATACATTTACTGTTGCCATATGTTTCTGATGGGCTCAAAAAGTTTGGCAATCATTGGATCAGAACATTAAGGACATCGACTACAACACCAATGCGTGTAGAGCCTTTTATCACAAGCCTCAGCATGTTCCGGTGTAGTTGCTCAGTTGAACAACCACACATGCAGTAGAATTGTACTATGATTGTTACTTCAGTTTGCATAACCTTTTTTTTAATTGCCATTGTGTCCAATCTATGCAAACGACTGTGATATTAATTTTACATGTCTTGCCTTTTGTGTTTGTAAACAAAAAGCATATGTAGACGGTTACAATTACCTACAGACTTAACACTAACAGTTAACTGTTCCTTAAAAGATGTACAGTACAGTATATGCCTGATTATGTTTAAAAATCCATCATATGATTTTAAAAATTAAGTGATTAAGAGTCTAGGGAAGAAATACTTTTGCTGGTAAAAGTGCTTTATCGACACTTAATAATTTCTTTACTAATAATGTATACTCTATTTGCAGAGGCTGTTAAATTAACAAAATAATTGGAATAGGTCTCTTATTAGAAACGTTTGCTGTAGGCAGTGTCTCTAAATCCCCTGTTTAGGTTGCTCTCTTAGAAAGATGTCAATTTGACTGGAATATAAATAAGGAGTAATAATAATAAATAATAAATAAGGAGTGCTTGTTTTGTGGAGAGGAGTATAGTACAGTATATACGCAAGACCTGTGGGGAAAAAAAGGCAAAGATGCCAGACTGTTCTTATCCAAGGGCCTTACAAGGGCAGTGTAGCCTGAATTCAGAAAAGGGGTTGATGCTCTGAGTCAACATGAAAAGAAAACGCTCAATTAAAAAAGATGCAGTTTGGTGGATCCTAACCTAGGAGAGTATTGGGGTGAATCTTTGGAAGAGAACATGGGTCCTTTGGATGCATACTTCTTATGCCGGGGAGTTGAGGGGAGAGGGGGACCCACAATCATATCTATCCTGGCAAAGTAAATAGAGAAGACACCGGCAAAATGCAGAATGAAGTCACACGTGAAACTTGTATGACAGACACGTTGTACAGCACAAGGAAAACAAAGAGAAAAGAAAAAAAAACAAGGACAAATAAGTGAAAATATATTCCATACACGTTCTGTGAAACATTTGAATTGCGGCTATTATTTTTTCAAAATATATTATTTTAAAAAAATCGTTCAATCCTAAAATCCTTTAGTCCTTAAACTGGAATATATTTACATATATGTGGAACCACTGTGTTTACTCAACATATATTGTACTTATTGGGTGAAGGTGTATCTCTTGGATGAGTGGAGAGGAACTGAAATGAATACTAAAGAGGATGCAGGATGAGCAATCCTTTTTACAGATGCTCTCGTTTAGAACTTTATTACATTGGCCAATGGATAACCTCCGAAAGATGGATTGAGCATGTGCATCCTCCGCATTCACTGAGTCTTGTTGTCTCTGGGACAATCAAGAGTACCCATCAGATCCGAGGAAATGAGTGCTGCTGAGAGTCTCCTGCACCATGCTTGCACTAGACCTTGAATGAAATGTGCCATGAAGCTCTCTTGTGACAATACCAGGAGCCATCACTCAGATTCATGGGATCTAGACATAGAAGGGGTAATATTCAAGACTGCCTGCTGGGAGGGAGGTGTTTGGAAACTGTTCGATGCACAAATGCAGAGATATTTGAAAGTTGCCCACCTGCTCCTAGAAACATAGAAATCAGACTGACAGGGCTACATTTGTTTTTACCTGGAAGCCTTCAGCTCAGATGATTTAAATGGATGGTGGTTTGACTTTTCCGAAGAACACACATGTAGACACCGTGACACATTGCTCTGGAACGCTAACCATGGGACACCCGACAAGGAAGAAGTGGGACATGCAGTGGAGAGCAACGTGGTCCGTCCTGGTGGACAGACCACTGGGCCCAGTACGATACTGTAACCACAGGATCTTGGGGGGAGAGGAAGTAGAGGAGGAGGAGGAGGAGGAGGGGGTGAGGCTAAGTGAAGGACGGAGTGGCTTGAGAGGTGGTTTAGCTTCTTGCCTGGACTGGAGGTTTTTAATCCGAGCCAGCATGTCCAAATGCCCAGCCGAGTACTGCTCTATTACATCCATCACGTCATAAGGCCTCAGGCTCTCCTTGAACTTTCGCTTTGAAACCATAAATCTCATTATGCTGAGGGAAAGAAAATTCCAGACATGAGAAAGGGGAACAAGCCGGACTTTAGCACTTTTTACTCCTGCCTTCACTCTCTCTCAAATCCACATGTGCAGCATGCAAACGTACCAGGAAATACTCAGAGAACAAATACAAAAAAAATTAACAAAAGCAGGATTTTTCATCACCCCACAATGTCTTCCAGGACATTTGCCATTTGTAAATCAAGCCATTAATTCTGTATGGTACAAATGGGGTTTTTAACAGAAGCTTGGGAGAAAGATCCTAATCCCGCCTCCTTCCACTCCTTTACATATATACAGGGGTGGTAGAGAGATGCTTCGCAATGATGAGGTCCCAGGTTCAATCCCCAGAATCTTCAAAAGCTTTATTATCGCCAGCAGCCATTTCACCCAACAACTCACAGCTGGCAGCCCACTGAAGCTAAGCAGGTGTGAGCGTACTGGGATACTATAGCTGCTGTCACATCATCCAGGAGGGGCCACTCATTGGTGGTGGTGGAGGGGATCCCAATTACCTGTAAAACACTTTGAGTGGAGTGTCCAGAAAAGCGCTATATAAGTATAAGCAGTTATTATTATTATTATTATTATTATTATTATTCAGTTCATCTCGCCTCCTTGAGCAACTCTGAGCATTTTGAGCACGTCTTCCACCACCCCATCTACACCCTTGAAGCAGCTCCCTGGCTCATTCCTTGCGAATGTGAAGAAAGGGTTCGGTCAACCTCATCCGTACAGTCAGACTGCCCTTCCCTCAGCTAGGCGAGCTGCAACACAGGACCTTGTATAAATTTCTGCATGACTTATTAGGATCTGACCAAAGTCCAGAAAGGAAGATAATGACGGATCCCTTCTGATGGTAAAGAAATGTAATTCTGTCATTTCATTTCAGGATGGCTAAGACATGGCATTTTCAAATGTGACAGGTTCAGAAAACGTAAATTATGTTTCCAAATAATTTAATAAGACTGCGTACATGTACATTTTGCTCAAGTTGTGCCATAAACCACCAATGTATGAGAGAAGTAATTGACACAGTGGGATGTTTTGTTTTCTGACGATTTTAGGTACAGTACTATGAAGTTCAAGAAAATATATTTAAATGTCCTGTATGAAAGTAAATAAATAAAATGTAGTTTACTGTGTATAAAATCTACCTTTAATACAGGATATAAACCATTAAAAAAACAATGATATAATAGAACATTCCCATGTAGCAACTGCTAAACAAATCTACTGATTTTTTTTACTAAATTCTCTCACACAATAGACAATGTTACCGAGTACGCTTGTGGAATCCCAGTTCCAGTCATTTTATCATATGACACAGGCTAAAGCCCATGTCATAGATCCCAACATGCACCAGGGTGAGGCCACTCAGCCTCTACTTTATAATAACAGTCGACAACCAAGTGCAACACAAATTAAAATGCAACCGTGTAAACAGTGTAAATGCTTCCCTAAATGTACTAATTAAATATAGGCACTTTTATCCAGGACAGCAATTCTTCCATATTCCGTTTAAAGAGTACAGTAAGTTGCTTTTTATGGTTATTTTTTTGTTGTAATCAATCTTATTATAAATTTTGCTTTTCAGTCTCCTACAGTTCCTATATACAATTATATACAGTACATCTTGATTATTGTACATAACTAGTGTACTGTATATCTCTCCATATAAGCCTTGGCAAAGTATCTCAAAAACCCATCCAAGACTTTGGTGATATCGGTGGGTCACAGGATTGATGCAGTTATTATGTAAAAAGGATTTGCCACCAAGTCCTAAGTTTTATATTACTTTCATTTATTTTAAGTTAATTTGTTCCAATACTTATGCACAATTGAAATGAGGCGGTTAAACACAAAAAGTGCTATTATTCTAAAAAGGTACAACAAATAAGCAAATAAGTACCCAGAAATAAAAGGGACTCTCTGTACTGTTACCATATTCATGGTTTCATCTCCAATCCTAAAAGCTTGAGTATACGGTAAAAATAGCAATTATGATTTCACTGTCCCAATACATATGGAGGGCATTTTTCCAGTATGAATATCCATATTCTTTTGTATCTACACCTGTCCCGCATATTGCATAAGAACAAGACAGACAAGACAGTGTTTGTGCCTATTCTGTTTTGTTGCATCATGCACATCTCATTTCAATATCAAAGTTTCACATTTCAAATGAGTATTTAGATCCCTACAGAGGCACAGAGATTTGTTGATGTCCTTTGCCACATTGTCTAGGAAATGAGAGAACAAATCCCAAATAGTTGTGCAATTTTCTCTTACCACACTGCCCGGATTGTAACCTTTAATCCGGGGGTTAAGTCCTGTGTCACAAACTCACAATGGCAGCTCTTATTATCATCAGCAATGTCTTCTCCAGGCAGGCTGGCTTCTAGAAAACACAACAGATGTCCACAGCTCACAACAGCAACAGGACTGTAAATACCGAATTACTCTCCTACAACCCCTTAACCTCCCACCTTTTGTTGCAATGTTTGCACAGAACCAAGCAACAGCAAGACACAGCAACATTAACCTGCAGCCCCAGGAGAGGCAACGCTCACAGTGGGGTAGGTTAAGGATGGTGTCCATTCATTTCAGTGGCTGGTCATGTCAAAAGGTCCTGGTGCAGGGGGAAAACAAAGCATTATGGGAGCTGACTGCAGAGGTTAAGGGGTTTTAACTAACCACTGTGGCCCAAAAATATGGAGGAATTCAGAGACAACTGTTAGAAGCAGGCTGAAAATGCTGTACTATACCAGGAAGGAGAGAAATCGAATTTGCCTATAGCCGTGCTGTAATCTTTTATTTATAGTTTTGGTTTGTTTTACAAGCAATCTGCAGCCCAGTTATTCCAATTTTGTTCGCAGCAGTGCAGCACAGAGGCTCAGCAGTTTGATGTTACCATTTGAACTTGTTTTATTTCTTTAAGCCATACGTTACCTGTTGGCAGTATAGGCAATCTGCAGATTCCTCATGGAACAAAGCAGGGAGGTGGCACAAGAGAAATGAATGGAAGGAAGAGGGAATTTCTCTCCAAGTCGGTATACAGTGAAAAATACAGACACTAAGCAGGCTGAAATATGTTTAATGCCAATAAGAAGACAAACATAAGGAAGGGTTCACACTTTATCTGTCTGCTACAGCTGGTAGCTGAGAGGATAGCTCTTACAGAAATATTCCTGCCTTGGAGCCTGCGTTTTGTTTTAGGTTTTTATTAGAGAGAGAATGCCTCAACAAGCACAGTTATTGTTAAAGCATTTCATGGAGGATTCAGGCGATTCTGCAGAAGAACCTGCTGAAAGCAAAACCTCCTGTTCAGTGAAATGCATAGACTGCTTCCTTTGCAAAGAAGGAAACAGATGCTTTGATATAGATATATATCACAGACCACAACTGTCTGTGCAAATATCTTACAGTACGTTCAAAACGCAATGTGCTTTTGAAAGACAATCAAAACAACAAAACATACGTTGGAGAACAGATTTTGTGGAAAGATAGATCTAAGCCCTCAGTATTTCATAACAAAGATGACTGTGAAAATTATCTTTGATCACACTGGAGGTAATTTACACTGTATCAAAACAAAAGATCAGACATCCAAATTAAAATAAAATCATATTGCTGTCAACTTCAAGGACATAAAATAACAGAAATTTTAAAAGGGGGGCTTACCTATGGCAAAGTTAAAGGCTTGGCACAGTAAAGAAGCTTCATGATGCAGTTCATATTTTGATAACCATACAAAACTGGTTTCTGGGACACTGCATGGAGTTGTTAGCATGTCAATAAATTTGGGCCACAGTGTACACTTCCTACAAGGTTATTATTATTTTTTTTTCCTCCAGCAGCTGAACTGACAAACAGTTGGGGAAAAAAATCAAACGTGCTTCAAATGCAATTATACCACAGAGCGTTGTAACAGCGCCGCCCTGCAGGAAGCAGTGTGCGTTGGCCTGAACTGTTCCAAAGTTCTGCAGCGTAGGACAGAAGGCCTGCTCCAGACCCAGGCTGGACTGGTAAGTCAGGGTCAGTCAGCTTCCTTCATGCAGTTAAGTGCAGGATCGCCAGCCATGGGAGCACACGGCTTTGGTCTGCTTACGCAAGTTATTCATTCGGTAATGTGGAATGAAAGACCCTGCATATGCTGATGGAATGTCACTAGATCTGCATGCATGGCTTTTCGACATATTTTTGGTCTCTTTCATTGTTTTCACTCTCCGCTTTCAACCCTGAGCGAATGTGCGGTTTTCTTACTGATTAACCCTTCAATTGCTGCAAAGAAGTGAAAAGGAGAGACATGAAACAAAGGCTGTTAAAGAAACGGATCATTTACAAAAAAAAATACAAGCATTTCATTTTTGATGCTAAGAGGGCACAGTCCTATAGCATTTGTAAAGGACCTCTTTTGCCCATCTCACCAATTCATTACGTTCCTCCTGCTTGTATGAGCTGGCTGTTTCCCGTCAATTTGCCCATGTTCATTTTCTAACTCTCTGAAGGTACACCAGCACTGAGCAGCCCCTTCACTTTATATTGGTATACTTTCACGGCAAAGATTTGCAATCTTTGGCCTCAGTCCAGAGTCCCTTCTTGTCTCTGCTTCTTGAATTGCAAAACATGAGCCGCAGAAGGGCTAGACACAGGGTCCAATGTGTAGTTGGCACAGTTGGGTTTAAAGTTGCCTTGGACACATTTAAATTGAATCTGGAAGCTAGCCCATAGAAATGTGGCCAATCTACAAGTTGCCAAATGGTTTGTTGGGGCTTTTTGTAAGCCAACACATAATTGTATGTATAGTATTTAATGCAACCATGAGCATTAAACATTGATGCAATTAAGACAAAATATTAAGCAGCATTATCATGTGTCAACTACAGGGTGATATTTTTTCATAGTGATTGTGATTTTATTTCAAGTCAAACCATGCGGCTACAATATTTAAAAAACATAAAATACATCTGATCACCATAATTTATAATAAAGTTTCTCCTCTATGACTTATTACATTTTGCCCATGTGCAATAAACTACCTTAGAATACCTGACTGTGGGTGACGTGGGTGGCTACATTAGTCTCTGGCATGGATTCTAAGGTAACCAGCCTGGAGGCACTTTTTAAGCCGTTTGAATAGTAGGTTTAGCATTGTCATCCTCAACAGACATTTCTCTGCACAACAGAATCTCTGCTCTGATAATTCAGTCAGAACACGCACTTCTTCTGTCACTTCCTAAGATATTGTATGACTGTGGAGCTAGATTAATGTGTTTCACCATTTGTAGGCGCTTGTGTTTTTATCAGGTTTTTAGCTTGGCTTAGAACTGAAAGACCATTTTAAATGGTCTGATATTTTTTTAAAAGTCACCCTGTAGATTTGACACAGTGAAAGGTATTCTTATGCGAACACAGCTGAGGGAAAATATAGAGTTAATGAAAGCCACCCTTGACATTTAAAGAAATGACTGCATCCTGTGCTGGGAGATTTCAATAAATAGGCAGCAGCTCTTCCTGCTGGCTGTCAGTGCAGACTCAGTTGACTGTGGAGTTAGCCACTTGCCAGAAAGGTCTTGCTTTTTCACAATTTGCAAAAGGTGTTCATTTTCCCACATCTGTAAAAGCTGAGAAATTACCTATAAAAGTGAAAGCCACTGTCATACCTTCAGGAGTAATTTTAAATGCCAGACCTTAAAAGCTCAGATTTTTTCTAATTAGTACAAAGTACAGATTCCTTTATCTTAAATGAACAGAACTGAATAACAGTGTAGAAGTGTCAGAATGTTCTTCTTCCAGGCAAGAAGGTTATCAGTTTCACTACTGAAAGCAATTACAGTATAGAACATGATGTGTACATAGATAATTGGAATTCACAAAATGTGTTTTGTTTTTTGCACCAGTTTGGATCAAAGACACATGAAGGTTAAATCCAGGATTATTTTGCTTTGAAACCTTCCAGTTGCAAAAGTTATACTTGGCTGCAAAGAATTGTGACTGGAAGATATTCTTCTAATATAATTAAGAAATTAAATATATTTTCGGTGTTACTCGTATTTTATATACAGTAGGCTGGGAAGAGTGTACTTCTATGTAAAATATGATGACATACTGTATACTGAACTCTATGTAGAGTAGTACTTCAAACTGATTTTTCTTTCATTAAATGTTTGCCTTTTCTAAATTGTACTTTTCCTAAATACCATTGAGAAATGTTTTTTGTTAATACATTGCAGACAAAATGAATTCACAACTATAGTCCACTTACAGTACGTACTGTTATTGAGTATGGACATCTTCTGCCATATCACATATCATGTTCAGTGATCTTAAACTACTTTAGGTTTTAAGCAGAAATAACTTAATCCAAACTAGTGCAATTTATTAAAATCAAAACAAAAACAGTTGTGAAAGACATAACATCACTTGGATTCAATTATCAGAGGATACAGGAAAACATGTAAACCCCATTTTGTAGCAGTCAAAAGTATTTCAGGTTTTAAGAGACTATAGGCTCATGTAAACTTCTTGGAATAAGGGAAAAATGTATTTCACAATACTTCAGCATCACGTGTTTTTATCCAAATTTAGCCACAAAAAAAAAGAAATGTAAATGTTATCATAAAGAAGAGCCTATAGCTTCTGACCTGCTATATCTCATACTGTTACACAGAGGGATTCTGATTTGTTTCCTTGGGTAAAATTCAAATAAAACATATTCCAAAAATGGTTTTATATATGTAACAATGTTCAAAGAATAATTGAAACCCAAAGGTCTTCTATAATAGACAATCTGTCTATTATTCACACTGTGTGGTTTCAGTAGCTTGTGAGTTCAGAATGAGTAATGTATATCCTGTAATGTCAAGCTCAATAACTGTGTGCTTTTAAACCACAAGTATTGAGCAGATGAGATAAGTGAAAAGAAATGTTTCTTTGTAAGGTTTTTAATTAAAAGTTAAACATGTTGTAGTTCTTCTTTCTAATTTTCTGTTAAAACTTTGTGGTGTCTTAAAAGATACTGTGGGAGTCCCAAGCATAAAATGTAATTATTTACTCATCTGTCTGTCATGGAAGTTGTCCCAGATTTTGCACATGTGGTTATTTAGTGGGGACAAATATGAGCCAATTGCGCTCCATGGGGGAATGACCACCTCATAGTCCAGGTATGAAAAGCAATATGGATCTAAACACAAGAAAGCAGGCTACTCCATCAAGCCTTGAGCTGCTTCTGAAAATGCGCCAGGACCTTACAAAAAGACCCCTGCAGCAAGGAGGAAGTCTCATATGTTTAGACTTCTGCTGCCAGATCCACCAGCTTCTAGATAAAAATGAAATTGTTCACGTCGTACAGTTATTGATCTGCAAATTGAGTTAGATAATGATAATATCACAGATTGCAAACAGTTTCAAAGCATTGAAGTGTTGTGCAATGTAGGGTAAAGAAGCTGTTTTTCTCGAGGCCTGATATGTTCAATCATTTTAGATTCTACCAAGGTTTAAGACATAGCAATAGCGTTTGTTGATTTGGGAGCTAGACTGTCCTTAAGTGGTGAGGGGTGACAGTTTTTAGCCAACCCAAAAAATTACCTGGAATGCCACAAGCAGAATTTTTACAGATGTATTTTGGTTATGGAGATACAATGTGTTAGTATACATTTTCACTTGTTTGTAGGCAGGATACATGTAGATCCACATTTGTGTGTGAAAACTGAGTAGGCCTACTGTACATATTAATCCTTTATGTGTATCTGTGGCTGTGTAGTGGTAAAGTGTGAGCAATTACAAAGGTCTCAATCAGACAAAACTCTATACAACCATCACCCACCTAACCTCTGATAGCCTGTATCTGTTTTAAATAACATTTTTAAAGTCTTTTGATTTACAGAAAAATTCCTCCCAAATTAAGTAGCAGCAAATTTTGAAATGAAACTCCCCGCCCTCACACACAATGTCTCAATATACAGCTCACACCCAGGCAAAGAAAAATACATTCTGTAGCTCTTAGAAAACAATGAAAAAACATCTTCAAAAGGTCAGAAGCGTGAAGGCGGCTATTGTACAAATTGAAATATTTGCCACATACAGCAATTTGGGAGAGAATGAAAAAGCCAAATCAACTTGCTTTGTTTAATGTCGGAAAAGGCCGTGTGCAAATTAGAAGTTGCTTATCTGTCCTAAAGGCCTTTGCATACTGTGTCCGATCCATCATTTTCTCCCGTCCTCTGTCTCGCTCATTATCCACTGGAGGTCTCAAGCAGCTCTGGCAGGGAAGATAAACTGCTATTCCCGTGGAGTCAAAGCTAACCCCCCTCCTTTCCCCAGTTAAAAAGGTGGTCTTGAGTGCAGCCAATATTCAAGAAGTGTTAAAAGCCTGGAGAGTATCACAAGCAGATCTACAGTAGGAGCGCGAATTGCATACTGAACTGTACTGACTTTATTTCAGGTTTAATTATCATCAATCCATGATCAAAAAGCCACTTATGTCTGGGAAGAGAGGAAGCAACTGGAAGTTTGTCCAAGGAACACAGTGTGGCATTATGGGGGGGCGTGTCCAATGGGGGGCGGAGCCCTGGCAGAAGGGCGACGCCCCACCGTTGTAGTCCCAGCTGTCCTGGCTTCTAGATAAAGAGCCCCAGCTGGGCAGGTCCTTAAAGGCACAGTGGACACCCCCTGACGGGACAAGCAGGGCCACCCCCGGTAGGGGGGGAGGGGGTTCACTAACAGTCCTGGAGGGGATTGCACCCACGTAAGGTTTTCTTTTTCTTTTTTTTTGCCTGTCCCATCATGGAGCTGGCATACACACACGGGTTTTTGTTAAGCAACAGTTCTTGTTTTATTTTTACCTTCCTCACCCTGCTCACCAGACTGGACCCCGACAAACAGTCCAGTCCAGTCCGGTCACCGCTGTGCTGGCGGCTCTTTTTTTCCCAGGCTGCACCCTGTTAATAGGGTAAGCTCAGCCTGGAGGTCACGCAGCAAAGTGGTACACTTTCTTTTTGCCTTTTTGTTCATTTTTTTTCCACTCTTTTTCTATTATTTGTGGTCCCTGCTAGCCTCACGGCGGTGCTTCTGTCCCCTCGCCCGGGGCGTTGACTTTAAAGCGGTGTTCGCCATGGTGCCACCCACTCCACACCGTCACAATAGTCATAGAAAATTCAGGATGGACCCAGGATGGGACACCAGTCTGTCACGGCGCAGCCACTCACACGGTGAGGAGGGGGGTGCTTTTTGGAAATGACACTTACCATAGACAGAATTTCCCCCAAAAAATCTGAGCCCCTGAAGATAATAAAAACTTTCTGTCACGATTATAGTCCCCCCCTCCTTAAGGGTGCTCCAGCCCTTTCACTTTAGACTTATTCTGTGCACCTGACCCCTTTTCCCAGCCCACCTTAAAAGCCAGGAGCTGACGCTCATCCTGGCTCTGTATCTGGTTTCCGCACCGTGCGAGTCCGGGACCTGGAAGTGCCTGGTCCCGTTAAGGTTTTAACCTCTGTTTCCGTTCCTTGTCCGCCGGTTCCGACCCGGTTCATGGTTTTAATTCCTAGTTTGGATGGATCACCTGGCTATGGACTTATTTTTGTGTTTTTGGATTCCCTCTATGGATTACTTCTGGATTGTTTACCTCGGCCACACCTCCCCCGTGCACCAGCGCACTTTAGACATGCCCCCCCTGTTTTCAGCCCCGTATCCCTACATGACCTTTTCCTAGTGTTTCCCACTTCTTCGGATTGTGTCGTCCGCATAGGGTCCGGAAAGAACTGTTCGTTACACTTTTGTTACTACCTCCATTTTAAAATTGAATGATGGATCACTCTCAGTATACAAAGACCCTTCAGGATTTTTTTTTTCTCATTGAAATCCACTTTTGTGCTTTTGCGCAATTTGAACTGCTTTGCTGACCAACTTCAGGAAGCTTTGCATCACGCCAGTACTGTTCAGGCTCGTGAATTTCTTGCATTAAAGGCTTTGAATTTTCCCCATGTATTAGTGGAGATTTTTAGAAATCAGCATTAGATGGCAGTTTTCAGAGGTTAAGCAGATAACAGAGATTTACACCTAGGCTCTTGAGCCATGAAGAAAATACTGCACTGTAAACATGGCAAAAACACTATATACAGTGTATAGTACAATGATACTGCATATAGCACTTTTGGAGTTTTTATGGTACAGAGTGTAACCACCCAGTCAATGGCCTGACCTGGCGAGCTCTTCAATCTGTATTCTTCGTCCTGCATCTCAATCAGCACTTTAGCACAGCATCAAACAGAGAAATGAAAAGGAGTTTGTGAGGATTGTGTTGTCCCATAAAACATTTTTTTTTCAATTCAATCTTGGAACATAAACACACAGCATGACTCCAGCAACACCAACAAGACATGGATACTGAAGACGACAGTATCTAAATAACATTTCCACCAAAAAACAATATAACAAAAAGATATGTCTCATCAGGGGGCCAAGATGAGTATCAGTCCTGCTTTTTACATTTGCTCTAGGGGTGTTGAGAATGAGAAGTACAGTAGTATTATGCATTTGTGAAAATAGTGGGATGTCATGAATGAGGCTGCATTAACCCTGTGGTTTTGAGACAGCCAAGTTATTCCTGCCTGTTCCCCAACACAAATTGAACGTGAGAACTGTTTGACTCAGCAGGCTTTATAACTTTATCTCATAGAAGCCAAGCCAAAAGAATCTCATTTGACAGGAAGTCTGCCTAAGGAATTGTTTTCATGCCTTAAGAAACTCACTAAAACAGCATAAGTACTAGGATATAATATACTGTACGTACCCAAATGCACACACACACTCACTTTTCTGACTACACACTGAGTTGTGTGTGTATAGTGTCAAATGCAAAATGAATTTAAGAACAAAAGCAAAAGGGTAGAAATGTCTTGATCACAAACTTCATCTTTCATGTTTTGGGGAACCCCCTTGCTATCTCGATGAAAAAACAAAATTGACACTGGCATGTAGCCCCAGATTTGAATGATGCTAGTACACCTCACTCTGTCCTTCATAAATGAAAATAAAGAACAACACTTGCACCACAAGAACAGAGACAGGTCATTACCCCACACAACAGTAAACACCAGATTGCATCAGCTACTCAACTTGGTTTTCAAATTTATGTCACTTAGCTTATAAAACTGGTTATCAATATAATTTATATCCTGTACAGAAGTATTGTCAGTATAGTATTTTAAGCATGTCTACATTTCAGTGACACTATTCTGAATCTTTTCAATTTGCCTTCTTGCAAAGGTTTTCAAAGTTAAAAAGAGGATGTTGCCTGTTACAAGGGCAAAAGATGAGTCTTATAATAAAAATGGTACATTGATTTACTGTCTCATCAAAAAACAGACTTATCCTATCAATAACTGTCTAGACTACTGCCGGCAGTACTGAATCTTTATTTAGAGATAATTGGAATGAGACAGGCCAATGGTTTGAAGAGAGTTATAAAAAAAGAAAGGTGTGCCATCACAGCTATGATATATTAGGATATTCTGATGTAGTCACTTGAGGCCTAGGTAGTCAGATACCACAGTATACAATACAGTATGTTCAAAGCATGATATCACAAAAAATAATAACTCAATGACTTTGGACCATAAAGATGTCACCACACCAAGAGCCTTGCTAGCAGGATATCTGTAAAATATTAATGAAGTGCATTATTTTCTTACAGTACTTACTTTCTCCTGCTAAATTCTCTGACTTAATAATGTGTAAGAAGTCTATGAACTGTCATTTCTACGTTTCTATTCTGGTATTAAATACTCGAGCCTTATCGAATTTTCTGAGCCAAGATGGATGACGCATGAGACAACAGGCCCAGATCTTTCCTGGGTTGTGTTCTGGGGAGTGACTGACTTACCCCACTGCTGTCCCAGGAAGAAGAGACAGGAACTAAAGACAGCGACAGAGAGGCGTAGACACTCTCACCTTCCGAGTTCTGGCGAGACGCGGCCCCCTTGATGCGGAAGGCCTGGCGCGCCCGGCTACGATCGCCGAAGCTCCAGCTCTTCGGCACCTTGCTGGGGCTGTCCTCCATGCTGTTGTCTGCGCTGGGGGACCTGCGCATGGCCTGCCCCTGGGGGGAGCCCTTGCCCTTCGCCCCCGAGCTGCGAGGGCTAGAGAACACCCGCTCCTTCAGGCTGACTTTCTGACTGAACAAGAAGAAGACATAGAGGCAACATTTACCATGCACCATGATACATTTTTCTCAGGATCTACAGTACATTACGAGCCTGAGCAATACTAGAGTGCTGTAGTGTAGGGAGCTAAGAAAAAGATGTGCAATTGTGATGTGCCCCAGTAACGAAGCAAGTTCAAAATGATCAGGTTTCATCTCGGAAATCAACCACATTAGAATTTCCACATCTGTGAATTCATCTGGAATTTGGGATCTGTAGATGGTTAGGAAAACATCAGAAGGCTCTGCGTTTTGATTATCTAAGACAATGCAAAGAAGGAAAAAGCAGAAATGTTTTTGTGATATTGCAGATACTGTAAATAGCCAGCAGCCATATCACCCTGCAGCTCTCAGCTGTTTACCCACTGAAGCTCAGCAGGGTTGAGCCTGGTCAGTACCTGGATGGGAGTCCTCCTGGGAAGATATGGTTGCTGCTGGAAGAGGTGTTGGTGGGGCCAGCGGGAGCCCTCACCCTGCAGTCTGTATGGGTCCTAATGCACCGGTATAGTGGTGGGGACACTATACTGTACTGGGCGCCGTCCTTCGGACGAGACGTTAAACCGAGGTCCAGTCTCTCAGTGGTCATTAAAGATCCCCGGGCATTTCTTGATAAGAGTAGGGAGTTATCCTGGTGTCCAGGCCAAACTTGCCCCCTCAGCCTTTACCATGGCCTGATTGGCATGTATGATTGGTTTGCACTTGCCCTGCGATGGACTGGCGTCCCGTCCAGGGTGTACCCTGCCTTGCGCTGGTTGCTGGCTGGGTAGGCTCCAGCTCCCCACGACACTGTATGGTATAAAGCGGTTTGGCAAAACCGGAGTGGTTACAATAGCTCTTGGAAAAAGAACGGGCTCCAAGACAAAACATGTCATCAACAAGTTCACAGCCAGACAGATATTCTGGCTCTCTGCCTTTGCAGATAATTCGGGCAAGGAGCGAAACTAGAACATGGGCAATAGGAATCAGTCTGGGTGATGGCTGTCTGTCCATCACAACTCAGTTTCCAAGCTTCTAAGCCCCTTTGATTATATCACAGATGGAGTTTGAGAAGTCTGCTTTACTTTCCATTATTTTAATGGTTGCCTTTATTCCTTTGAGTTCTGCTTTCTGTAATTTTATTGCTTTCCATGTTATTTTTTCTTTCACATTTTAAAATGTTTAATTGTTTAGAGTTAGCCTTTGTCTTTAAGGTTAAATGGAGGGATCAGAATTATCAGCCGTTTCACTCATTCATATGCACAAGATAGCGTGAGGACATTGGAGGGGAAAGGACTTAAGGCTGATATTCCTGCATTCATTGTTTAGACTTTAACCCACAATTTCCGGAAGATCATATAGAAATTCCTGTCCCACCGTCCAATGCATATGGGAAGCTCAGAGCACACTGCAACGTTTCAGTGGTTTTTCTGAGCTTGATCTCAAGGGTAAGGACGGCCAGCAGAAGGAAGCAGAAGTGCATTTCACTTCTATTTTCACTGCGATCTCAGGCTTTACACTTCCTTCTGCAAACCTTTTCTGCATTTATTGCGTATATTTTAATTATACATAGCTTATGCATTTAATTCTAATAACTTTACTTTCAAATGGAAAAATGGGTCTCTTATGTTCCAATACTGCAGGAAAGCCAAAAGAGAGCCATGATTTAGACATGTAAAAATGTGCTGGGTTTAGTATTGTAGTATCTGCTAGTGATGAAATCTAATCTTTATAAATTATTTATATTTTATTTTCAGAATTAAATGTGAATCCTAATCTTTTTTGATTGCATTAATCAATCAGTGATATATGGTAAGCCATATCACCCTGCAACTCACAACTGGCAGCCCACTGAAGCTAAGCAGGTGTGAGTCTGGTTAGTACCTGGATGGGAGACCTCCTGGGAAAAACTAAGGTTGCTGCTGGAAGAGG